GGAAGAACCGAAGATGGAAGCCCCGCCGACACAGGGACCGCGAGATATAGTGGAGAAAAATCCTGTGAAGGATTTCACTCGAGCCCAAGGTGAAGCCCGGGTGCAAGAGACAGTGAATGAGGAGATGATCGTGTTGAATGAGTTCACGTGCTGGGCAACTGGACTTACATCGGCACGACCTCGACCGACCGACAGTGTAAAAGTGACGGAGTCGGCCAGCTAGGCCCAATGTCGTGACATGAACAAGCGGGTGAATAACCGAACAGGATCGGTTGAACGTTATCACCCGTTAACAGTGTCGGAAGTGACAACGATGACTGAGACGCGGCCTCAGATACCGTCGTTGGAAAGGGCTCGCCGGAACAAAACGAGGAAAAACAAGAAGAAATCGAGCGAGCACCGCAAGAAAGGACGCAAGCGCAGCTCGAAGTACACAGGATAGGTGTTGAGGTCGAATCGGAATGTGTTTGACAGTGCTGAGTGCAATATATTGTATTAATGTGGTTGTTATCCTGTGTCACAACTGTATGTCGAGTGAGTCAAAATGTTTGTTACGGTGATGTGATGTATAGTATTGTACAATTGTTGTAATGAGAGACCTTTGTACATTTGTATTGCTTGAAGTATGCGGTGGAGTGTTGTATTCATGTACCTGTGGCTATATTTTATGTGTTGTGAGATTGAATTGCAATGTACAATTGTACTGAGTGATCTATTGTGAAAGTGACGGACTATGTTACAGTCTTTGAGAGTCTAGGGACTGTTCGCACTCATTTGTGTGGTTTTGAATATTATGAGATAATATTCCTAAAGTGGGGGGCAGTGTCACAAAACGAGCGCTCAAAAAAGGGCACGCCGTCAAATTCTCGCGACGAAGCACCGGAGAGACGCCTCGAGGTCAACGATAAAGAAGAAAAACAAGCACCCAAAGACTCCCCGGGCACTCGTCTCTTTCCCCTCGGAAGCACAGGTTCGCCGACGAACCTTCTCCCATCGGCGGCCGAGCAAGTTCTGGAAGATTCTCGATAGAAAGGGGCGTGGTGATGCAGGATTGCGTCATCTGTCGCGGACGTCCCTCGAACCGTCTCGCGCTTTCTCCAGCCTTCGCTGCGTATCGCGCCGAGGAAACAATGAGAATTTTCTGGAATCTAGCGCAAAGTGTATTTAACCGAGCAGCAGAGATGGGAGATGGGAAGAAGAAGAAAGTATGCGCCAGAGTGCGTAGGGTGTTCCGCTGTGTCGTCGGCGAAGGTTTTGTCCTCAGTGACAAAGCAGGAGAAGAAGGAATTTCACGCCAGAGTGCGTAGGGTGTTCTGCCTTGTCGACGAAGCCTTTTGTCCTCAGTGACAAAGGAGGAGAAGAAGAGGATTTCCACCTGAGGGGTGAAGACTCGTGCTACAGGCAGGGGTGTGTATCTACCGCCAGCGAGCGAAGACGCGTGGCAACCGCTGCACGTGGGAAGCCGACATGTTAACGGCGAAGAATTTAGGTGCTTGGAGAGCGGCCCATTGAAGACGCAAGGTTTCCTGGAAGAGAATCTTCGGGGGCAGCGGAACGACAACAGCGCTGGACTTTGAGTGAGTGATTCTCGGAAGAGTATGTTTCAGACTTTTGTTCCATAGACTTTGGACTGAATAAGTTTTCGAACTCTTTAGTCTTTAAGTGTCTTGGTTGTTCGATGCATGCGATTGCATTGTAGCGCGTATTGTTCTTTGTGTCCGTTGTTTCGAGTGTGGCTGATTGTACTGTGTAGTACGTTGTTCTATTGGTGACATATCGTATTCAACTATTGTCAAGTGTGCATATTTTTGTATCGATTTGATCTGCCATAATTGAGAATATAATTTTGTTTTGTTTATCAACTCTCGTCTCTGACTTGTTCTTTTGGGCCACAGCCGGCATCCGCTGGCGCACCAAATAGGACCAGTTCTAAATTGTCCACCCTTTCGTGGTGCAGTTCGGGGGGCCGATATTTCGGTCCTTAGAATTAGCCCGGCGAACGCCTCCCCAATTAACAGGACCCGTGGCACCACCCCCCAGTCGCCATCAACGACCTGAGTGGCAGGGGTAAACGGGGCGTGATCCGGACCAGAGTTCTGCCGGCACCAAATACACAGTGGCAGTAATGGCGGCGAAAGCGACAGCAGTGGCAATAACGGCGGCAGAGGTGACAGCGGTGGCGATAACTGGCCATGTTGCAAGTGGGCACGGCATAAGTGGTGGTGGCTACTTCGGATGGAGCGGAGACATGTGGGGACACCCGCGGCACCTTTGGCAGAGGGCCAACCGCTGGAGGGCACGGATTAGAACCCACTGTCCTAGCCTTCCTCGATGATGAATAACTAAATGTTCTCATGTTTCAGTCTCTGTCGTTTGGGGGCCTTCTTAAGGGGGGGAGGATGTGGTGGAGCATGTGCACCCAGCCTCCTTTTCCCTTTTATGGTCTCGCAACAGCCTGGTTGCGGGGACATGGCTGTCCCTTCGAGAGTCAATAAAGCCTCGTGCGAGAAGATGAAACACCCCCGTGGCCAGCACTCGTGATTCCCTCTTTTTTGGCGCGTGGAACGGGTTTCCCCTCCCTCAGCGTGAAAAGTTATTATTCTCAACAGGAAGAGGGAAACCGGGTCAGTGAACAAAAAAACCGTCCGCACGCTCTCTCTGACACCGGCCTAGGAAGAAGGAGGTCGAACCTGCAACCCCCTGCGAGCCAAGGATGACAACGACCAAGGAGTAAGAGTCTACCTTTGTTTTCTGCAGTATCTCCTTGTGACATTTATGCGCTGTTGCTAACGTATGGCAATAAAGTGGGTTGTTAACATAGCCTGTTGCCTTATTCACCCGCACCCGTGTAGCTGCAATGAGACAAGCTAGAAATAGGGGACGTTAATCGTGCACGGTACGACTGTGTGTGGCTGGAACATCAGCTAGGCTTCTGCGTCACCGTGCACAGGAGGGACCCCGTACACATAACATAACTTACCTAATCTTAGAAAACCAGTCTCTTCTGGCACACCTTTGCTTCTCTCTGAAGCCCCTCTGTGCTGCAGCAAGAGCATTCCCACAGTGCTTCAAGACTATTGTTTGCACATGTGCCGGGATACTTGTCAGATGGAGATTCGTTTCAAATGATTGTCTATGAGAGAGTCTGAAAGTGTGTCTAACAGGAAACAACATGATTTAACAAGCTTCGTTTTCCTTTTTTAGCAAAGTTGTACAGTCAAACCTCAATATATCGAACACGGATATATTGAATTATTGCCTATATCGAACAGTTCTTATATCACGCGGGAAATCGCATGCATTATTAATTTTTTCTATTTCGAACAAAGTTTGACATTTAATGGATATATCGAACTCAGCCACCCCAAACCGCCCGCGCTCTATTGACAGGCAGCGAGCTTTCCCGCAACTCTCGAAAGTAGCGGTAGAGCGGCGGGCGTTTACGAATGCTGCACACATCGATGGCGCCGAGAGCGGCACTTTGACGTAGCAGCGTACGCGCGCCGCAGCCTTGCGGTAGAGCAACGAGGAAAGAAAAGAGAAAAGCACGGAGCTGTTATCGTCTTTCAATACGAAGGCACCGACAGGGCTTCGCGCCGTGGAAGGGGAAGTGGGAGGTAAAGATTGAGGAGGAAAGTATAGGAGGGAAAGGACGCAGAAGACTGTCTCGGACGCGACCCGCGCTGCCGCCGGGAAAGAGAAAGCAGTCAGGCGAGCCAGCATGGGCACGCCATGTGCGCGCTTTACACCCAAACTCACGCTGCAGCCTTGCAGCTTGCAGTCGTTGCAGTCTCTATGGTGTCAACGGCACACTGCGCACTTGTTGCAAGCTCCTCCCCCATAGCATTGGCAGGCATCGGTCATTGTGCTCGCAGTGTTCGTGCGTTCGGAGTTAGGCCTGTCGTGCGCTGTGGTGCGCGACAGGCCTAACTCCGAATGGCGGAGCTCACAACGGCGGAGCTCACGGATGTGGAGAATGTCGCCGAAGCTACTGCTGAGCAGCCAAATGAAGACTGCCGAGGTGGATCCCGCAAGCACTGATGGTACCCCGCTACCGACATCAGCTGAGGTCGTAGCTGCCTTGGCCTTTGTGCGCCGCCACTTCAGTGCGATTGAAGGCACCGGCCTATCACTTATGGATCGCCTGGACTATATTGAGGACGCAGTCGTCAAACACGCCATGGCCAACAAAAAGCAGGCTACTCTTTTTCAATATTTTAAACCAACACAATAAATACTATGTTTGAATCTTCAAGTGAGTATTTACTGCACCACGCTTGAACGGTTCGTTGGTTGTTTTCAGCAAGCTGTTGATGCATTTTTTTCGTGATTTTTTTTTTATCGAATGCTGGATATATTGAACTATTTCTCGATCACCGCACCGTTCGATATATCGAGGTTCGACTGTATATAGCTAGGACACTTCATTTGTTCATCGAAAACCCCCTTGTGTCCTCTAGAAATCGGTGAAAAAAAAAAAACCTTATGTGTATATACCTTATGCATTAGTGCTTCATTAACCTAATGAAAAGAAACTTTCATGTTGCTATATCTCATAAGAATGTGCTTAGAAATCTTCTCCAACTTCTTTCTTTCCTGCATTTTCAATTTGAACTATTAAAGTATTGATTGATATGTGGGGTTTAACGTCCCAAAACCACTATATGATTATGAGAGACGCCGTAGTGAAGGGCTCCGGAAATTTAGACCACCCGGGGTTCTTTAACGTGCACCCAAATCTGAGCACACGGGCCTACAACATTTCCGCCTCCATCGGAAATGCAGCCGCCGCAGCCGGGATTCGAACCCACGCCCTGCGACTATTAAAAGTATTATAGAAATATTTGGAAATATTCGAATTCATTTTGCACCCATAATTCCTACAGCTCCAGTTTTTACTAGTTACAGAAAGTCCTTCATGTTCTTTTTTTTTTTGCATATAATGTTATCTTTGGTTTTCCTAAAATGCCTACATTTGTGACATCAGGAGGCCAACTCACCTGGTCTAAGCAGAGAGCCAGGACAGACACACACGCCAAGTCCTTGAGATTGTCAAGAGCAGAGAAGGCAATCAGTTCTTCCACAACTGAACACTGGAGTGCCATGACATTCACACGAGGTATATGAAGACAGAGTTGCACCTGCATAGGAAGAAAGTGTGCACACTTATTCAACCTTGTGGTGTGCTGAAACCCCCTGTGAAGTTGTTTTCGCCTCGTGACGCACGTGTATCACTCATAGGCTGCATTTCGGGTTCACGACTACATAGCACTATGTGGCGTTGTGCTCGCTAGCGTTTATCACCACCACCATCATCATCATCATCATTGTGGTTGTTAGAATGGTAGCGCCAGCAGTGACACCTGGCCGCAGCCTTGGTGGTAGCAGAGGAGAAATGAGTGGGTCTCTTTGGTGGGTGGCAGTTGGCACGAACGGTTGTCTCTAGCGGTGGGTCTGTCGTAGGCGGCACCGTGGTCCGTCTGCGGTGGGCCCTCGTGGTCAAGCGTTGGCGAAGCCGCCTTGTGAGGGTTCTTGTGTATGTTATGTTTCTGAGTGTTGTGTAATATTGCGCAAGCTTTTTTTTATCACGTTGATGACAATTGATGTATAATAATTCCACTGACCATATCATTGATCTAAAAGTAATTAAATAAATGTGTGTCGTTTGGTTCATTTCGACCGTGTCTACTGTGTCCGTTTACTGCAACAGCGTGGCACTTTTTAAATCGAGACCCCAAAGCCTTAACTGAATCGAGACCCCAAAGCCTTAACTCTCCCTTTTGTTCCTTTTTTTCAACCACCTCGCGTCTATTGGTGGGCACCTTGCAGACTGACAGCCACAAGGTCATAAAATGAGCCAATGGACTGAAACAAGCTCAATGGTGTTTATAATTTACTCGTGTCTGCACCTTTCCTAGCAGCGCATAAATGCCATTCTTGTTTTGTTTAGCTGATGTGCCAACAGCGGGAGAGTTCTATCCCAGCAAACTGCACGTTTCAACAGCACTCAATTTCAAAAAGGTGGCAGACAATGCGAACATGACTAAAGGAACGCTATGTAACAATTAAAAGCATTCACAACAGTGCGACACGATCCACACTTTTGCGGGAGCAGGTTGTCGAAAGAACTATACTCGGTGGACATACTGACGCTCTCGTCAATGCATCAACCATGGATTTGGTGATTCTTATCTAAAAGTACAAAACCATTCAATATGACTAACTAATAGGGAACAGTAGTTTACGTACCCACACACAAAAAAAGCAATCTTCTAGGACACAGCATGGCATCAGCTATATTGTACAACAGGTAGAGCTGTTATAGGCCATCAACTTTTACATGCCAACTTTCTTGTATCTCAACACTAACATGTGCAAGTGCATTTAAATGTTGATATCACAAACCTTGATATAACAGAAATCACAACAGAGAAAGGTATCTCAGTTCCTAAAGCTTTATCGCAGACTTGTACACAGTACAGAAAACAAATGCCCAATTGCTATTGCAATTGTTTCCTTCAAAGTGTGATTGATTACAGTGGTCAGCTACCACCTCAGGAAAGTGAGTGACCAATTACAAAAATGCAACCAGTACACCTCAGAAAAGTAACTGACCAATTACAGAAATGCAATCATTTCCTTTTGCGTAACTCTCCTTTGAAATGTTATTGCTGGAAAAAAGAGTGGTGCTATGAGGTAGTAACATCTTGCGCCCCAACTCGCAGTTGCACAGTGCTTGCACACTAGAGTCCTTGACCACTATGAAACAATGCGCTTCATTGTGGCTGGTGATGAGGTAAGGTGTTACAGGTAAATCCAAGAAGAGTGTGAAAAAATAGCCTTTGTAGAGACGGTCAGGAGGGGGTCTCTACAAAGCAGTCACTTATACTTAAGGTCCAGAACTGCTGCAGAAGACTGCACACAACTTGACTTTGAAAAAAAAAAAAGAAGTAATTGAGCAGTAGTAGTCAATTACAAAAAAAATGTAACTGAATCACCCAGACCCTTAATGTTTTAAATAAGTAATTCCTTATTTGAAAAATAGAGCTTTGCAAATAGCTAAAGCCTAGGTGCAAAGTGAATTTGAATATTGAAGTATTGGTATGAATAAAATTGAATATTTATCTGATACTTCGAAAAGAAACTGCAGAACAGAAACTTGGAGAGAATTACTAAGCATATTTTCATGAGATACCACAGGTTCTCTACCAATTTGATTTTTCCGAATTCCCTGACTTTTTAGGTTTTCTATGATGATTAAAGCAAATTTTATGAACATCACATCTGCTTAGAAAAGCCTGTGCACTGAAAACAGAGCCCCGGGTAGCAAAAAAAAAACAGGTGCTCATATAAAATAAGTAAAAATACCGCACACAGTCGGAATGTTCCGGGCGTATATGGCTAATAAGAAAAAATATATATATCTGGCCAAAATGAAACCTCCAGGAAGTGAACAAGTTGGCTGTTTAATCTTCGAAAGAACCAGGAAGCACACACACAAGTTAAAATTAACCACAGGTGCAAGTTTCAAGAATGAAACCAAACTGCAAAACTTTTTTTTCTTTGTTTTTTTTTTTTTTATCCCAATGGGCACATGCACGTTGGTGTTTCATTTCTCTGGGCTCTAACCCTTTAAGCACGATGAATGTCCTCAGAGGGCTGTAATGAAATCTGGCGAGTAGCGTGTAAAGCGCCGACGTTTGAATACGTGGTGGCAAGAAGCAATCTGTCAGTGGGCTACAGCTTCCTCGATTCCATAAACGAATCACAGATGCCGGAGTGTTGTCTTTATTTACGTACTCTTCTATGAATGGGATGCTAAGAAATTCCACCATCTCAAGAAACAGAAATGAAATATTCAGCTGAAGTTACCCATTACAAACCTTCAAACAGAAGCTACCAGCGATAAGTGTGTAGCTAAGGACGTTTGTTGTTGCATCGCCAATAACAATAACAGTAATACTACTAATAATAAAGGGCATGGCATAGTCCAGCAGGCCTCTCCTGATCGATGTTCTAGCCTAACCAGAAGGCCTTCAAGCTGAGCCGAAATTGTGGCCAAGACAAACATTCACAAATATTGTGCTTCGAAACTCGATATGTTATGTGATTCGTGAAAGCAACAAACATCAGAATAGTTCATGTACCAACATGCACTATTCTGCATGTTGGAATGCTTTAGCTAAAATGAATGACAAGTTGCCGAGAGAAAATTTTCCTGGTCTTGTTTACGTCATATGCTGCCCCGATTGTGACAACCAGTACATTGGTGAGAAAGGTGATTTTAAGAAAAAGAGTGAAAGAACAAGAATACAATGTCAACAAATGACGCATGACCTCGAATGCCTTCGCTGAAGACAGGGAATCTACACGCCACCGAATTGACTGGTCAAGTGCACATATTCTGTCAAAAGAAAAAAAGCTTGCATTCGAAGGATCCCTGCCCATACAGAAAACTGCAGATATGCTGAAACGAGTGATGGGACGCTTCAGACGATGTACTCTCGGCGCTACGTCACATACTTAGCGAACCTTAATACGCTGTGCCTTTCTTATGGCTTTTATTGCAAACAAGGCTCCCATAGTGAAATGTCAGTAAACTTCATGCTTTTTTTGGTCAGTGTATCCTTTCGTGCTTACGATAAAAAGCAACAGCCATGCACTGCCTTTATTTTTTTTCGTGCCTCTTCTTTGATCAGTGGGAATGCTTACTTTTGTGACAGTCGCACAGACTGCCATCAGTTTCTATGAGCTCGCCAAGTTTTTCAGAATGACTTTTCCAGGTTGGTTGACACCCTATAGCAACATAAAACTCTGGCACGGTGTTTCATATCTGACTTATGAATCAGGCAATTTACAAGCTTAATTGCATTTATACGCATCATTTGGCGCAACCGTTGTGTTGTCAACAACACTTAACACGTGTAAGGCAAAAAATGCTATTTCCTCAGCCTTTCCACCTCTTCCATCTTCTCTGAAAACCCAAATGATAAAGTGGACAAGGTTATACTCGCTTCCAGTCTGGAGTTCCAAATCTGTCCCAAAAATGTCCTTATGTAGGACCATCTGCAATATTTATTGCTAAAATTCTTCAGTGTCCTAATTTTTGAACTTCCACAACAAATTTCAAGACTATAACAATAACAAATGAGCCCCTGACTCTTCCACATATATCATCTTTATGTTGGAACCAGCGTTTTCCTAAGTCAATACACTTGAGATTATAGCAGATCCTGTATGATAGCTTTGCCACAATACCAGAATGCTACATAGAGAAGCATATTAAAACTCTCAATTAAAGGGGTTCTGAAACAATCTTTCAAGTAACCATGGAATGAATCAAAAGCTTATTGCCTCAAGAATTCAACACCCAAGGATGCAAGTGGACTTTAGCGTTTTGGAGCAGCTAAAAGAGCAAGAATGATGCTATTTTGGAGCAGCTTTCGCGCAGTAAAAAGGGAGTTTTGGAGCACGTTTGGAGCACCAAAAGATGTGTTTTGCAGCAATGTGAGTTAGTTTATTTATTTCTTTATTTATAAATACTGCAATTCCTGATAGGGATTTTAGCAGGTGGGTTACAGTGCATAAAAAGGATACATGGTTTACAACAACTGTACAATTCAACACAGATGAAATGGCTCTTCTTCTCGGGTACAAAAAGTTGTTACAAATAATACACACAAAAAAAATTTAAAAAAAAACAACAACAACAACAGAGGATTGGTATACAATGCTAATTAAGGTGGGACTCAAACAAACTTAGAGAAAGCTGTAGAACTTGTGAATTCTGAAGTTTATTCCAATCGTAAATAGTTCTGGGGAAGAAGGACTACTTATAACAGTTAGTATGTGTGCGATGGGGGGTGACTGTTAGTTGGTGTCTTTGTCTGGTCGCATACCCATCTGAAAATGAAATCACATGTGAAAAATATATTTTATAATGCCCCTTGATTATTTGATAGAAACACTTCAGTCGCAATAAAAGATTCCTGTGTGCTACGACGGTAAGACGGCTCGTCGTAGAAGTTCGGTAACTAAAGTGCGCCCAAATTTGTTAAATATGTAGCGCGCAGCCTTCTTTTGTACGTTTTCCAGCCTGCCGATGTTTGTCTTTGTGTATGGATCCCAGATAACGACGCAA